GGTTTATCTTTTCTTATAAAAATAGTATTATTGGAACTTTTAGTTTCTATTTAACTTTTTCTATCGTATCTTCTCACTTTTTTTTTCTCAATCATACAAACAGTATAATCCACATGATAATTTCTTCTTTTGTTTCAGTTGGATAGTATCTAATTATGGAAAGTTACTTCATTTTAATAATTCATAGTATCTTCAATGTATAATGATTTAGAAATGTCTGTGGTTAAATGAATATATAAAAAATATCTTTTTAATTGTAAAATTAATTAAAGAACATATTACCAATACCACAATATTCTTTGATTGAGAATTATTATACTATACTAATAAAGACATGACAATTAATGGCTAGTATGTATTTCTTTGATTGGATGTTAAATTATCAACAGTTTTTCATGTTGATTCTGGTTCATTCAATAATACAAATAACGAAATAATACTATACACAAATCACATTTTTAATAATCACTCTATCTTAACAACTTACTTTTTAAAATAAGAAACAGTCAATAATAATCATTTAAATATAGTGATGAATATAATATTGAAATAGACTTATTAATTAAACATTGATAACTGTAGAAATATTCATATCTGTTTATTTCTTCATAAGTAATTATTATTCATTTGGTATAGACTATTTTGCAATACTTATGGATTAACCATTATTCATCCACATATTCCACTCTAAATTCTTTTTAACGTTAATCGTCTATAATGATAAAATAAACAAATTATAGAAAAATAACAATATTATTATTATATTATTAATATTATTATATAATTATTGTTATTATAAAAACCATAAAAATGAATAACATTTGATAAACTGATAAAAATAATACTGACTTGATGTGTGAATAAAGTGTATTTAACTATTTAAACGTTTATATTTTAAATTTATAACCATTAAATTAAAATGGAGGAGTTAATAAACAAGAATAATCAATTGATTAAAGAAGAATAAACAATATACTATTTGATTCAGATAAAGATAATTGGAATAAAAATACATCAGTATTTGAAAAAAGAGTAATGAATAAAGAATACAATAATTATTATTGAAGATGAAGAAGGAAATAAATTTGGAGGATATGTTGATTCTAAAATTGAATCAGTTGAGTGTTATATAATTGAATTAATTGGATTTGTATTTTCAATAAAACCAAAAAAAGGAATGAAGAAAAGATATTAAAGAATAACTGTATGTATTAAAATAGTTAATTAGATAATTATTTGTTTAAAATTGATATGGAATAAGATATTATTGTATAAAAAGAAAAAAGATAAAACATGGTAATTTTGTAAACAACAAACAAAAGAATATAAAAGAATACGAAATGTGATTTGTTAATGATATAATTTCACACTACAACGAACAGTAGTAAATGAAATTGTCCAATATAGATTAATTGAAATACAAAAGAATAGAAAAACAAAAATAATGAAAGAATAAGTGTATTTCAAACAAATAACAATGAGTGAAATGACGTTTTTATCAATATTGAATAATGATATCCAATATTTTAACATGAAATATTATTTCAATCATTTTAACAAATGTATTAATATTTCATTGATAATAATTTTATTCAATCTCTATTTGTTTTATTCTGTTTGCATCTTCTTATAATTAAATTCAGTAATAAATGTTTCAAAATATGTTAATTTAAAATAACAAAACAGAAAAGAAATAATCATTTTATTATTTAATCAAGCTAATGTTAAATGTAAGATAGGAGATAAAAATAAATTATATAATAATACAACACTATTCTAAAATATAGTTTTATGAATTTCATTTGAAAAAATAAAGAAATTATTTACAAATACATCAAAAAATGGAAGTGTCATCAAATAAGTGATATTTTAGAAGATGATTCGAGTCAAAAGGAGTAGATAAAATTACTACAGTGAAAGCATGGAAGTCAATCAATATTAAAAAGAATGTATTTCTACATTTAACTAAAATGCAAGATGGAGCAATATTTTGTGGGTATAGAAAATCAAAAATAATGAAAAATGAAAGATTAAAATACTCAACACTTTGTAAAGACAATATAGCTACAGTACAACACATTCTACTATCTTGTATTTATAATAATAAATCACAAATGGAAAAACATGACAATATATGCATTATAATATTGATTAATAAGAAAATATACAGGAAATAATCATTATAAAAACCCCCATATGAAACAGTGTTCAAATATAAAGACATTACAATGATATGGAACAAACAAATAATGCCTAAAATTGAATGACAATACCACAAAATACCAGATATGTATTAGATAAAAAGAATAAAACTTGTTTATTATTTGATATGACTATTGTTGCTGATCACAATATTAATGGAGCCTATTGGAAGAAAAGAAATAAGTATAAAGAATTAAAGAATATGCTAATGAAAATAGAAAAGTTAAAAGATGTCAGAATAATTCCAGTAGTAATTTCAATCAATGGATTAATAAATAATTCAAGTAATAAATTAATTAAAGAATTAAGAATTGAGATTGACATCAAGAAAGAAATTAAAAACCTTGTAATAAAAAACATGATGGATGTAATTGAATACTGCTTCAATCACAATCAAACATACTCCGTAGAGTTGCTTGAATATGAAGACGAAGACGAATGGACGGGATTAGTCTCCCCTGATCCAGGAAGAATAAAAACTATTTCTATTAATACTTAATTAGTTGCTTTTTAATTAATTGATTTTAATTTTAATCTCTTGATTATCTTCTTTTTTCACTCTTTATTCATTTCTTATTTTGTTTATCATTTTATTTACTACTATTTATTCTTTGTGTATTTACTTCTATATTTAACTATATTATTTAATTATCTGTTATTTCTATACTTCTTCTGTTTTTTTCTTTCTTCTTATTTGTATTACTCATTTGTCATTTCTATTTGTTGTATTTGTACAATTGCATAAATCAATCAAATGATAAAATACTTGAATACTTGACTTTTCAATTCCATTTTGTTTCATGTTTGTGTTGTTATTCATTTTTCATGTTGTTTATTTCTTATTCAAAAAGATCCTTTCAATTTGATTACTTATCAAATTACAATTAAATTAAGTATTAAAATTATTTGTTGATTCACTGGAGAAGATACATTCAATAAAGATATTAGTTCTTTTATTTCTTGTCTATTTAATTCATTATTCCCTTCTTTCATTTAATATATTTTGTTGGTACTTTACTGTTGATTTGATTTTTCCAATTATTTATTTTATTATTATGATTATTCCATTAATTATTCATCATTTCTTTCTTTATAAAACTTCTTCATCTCCCCACATTAATTTCATTTTTTTTTTCATTTAAGTTATAGTCAATGTGTTTCACCGATAATATGGTAATAATATTTTTAATAAACGTTCAATCCATTCTTTGTTAATGTGATAATACTTGTTGATTTAAACAAGAAATTGTTGATTAAGATTGTTGATGTACTTAAAAGATAATTTAAACAATTTGAATCAAAAGAAATAATCAAAAAACATCATTTAATTTCAATTATACTTAAATCAAAGCATAAAAATAATGACATTGATTTAATCATTCATTTTTTATTCAGTTGTATTAGTATTATTTGCTGTTTCTTCTTCTATAGTTTCAAGATACATTTCATTACCTTCTTCCACTTTAATTTCATCTTTTGATTTCAATAACTGTTTTTTAAAAATAAAAATGAAGAAACAAAAACTCTTTAGATTTTATTCTTTTTAAAACCATAAACAAACAAAATGTTAAATAATTTATTATAATATTAATTTCCGTGTATTAACATAAATTGAGTTGCTATTAGCATCTAATACAATAACATCTCCTGAGTCAAGTCTAACACAAATCATTGACTCACGGACATAAAATACAGCACTTTTACCATTTCGAGATTTACTGAAAAAACTTCCTGTTGGGATATTCACAACTTCACATGCAAGACGTTTCCATTCTAAATGAAGTTCCATTTTAAGTTGTGTGATTGAATCTTCTTTTAAGTCATATTTAAATTCATTTTCATTAAAGAAATAGAAATATTTTTCATCTGAATAATAAATATGAACTGCTTGTTTTTTGTCTTCTGTATATAAACTGACACATTTTTCTTCCTGTGATACTGTTTGATGAAATAGTTGCTAGCCATACTGGTGATAATTTATATATTTTATCTTCATAAATTGCTGTAGTAACATTAACTCGTTTAGGAATACTTCCTTTTGTAGAAATTTGTGCTAAATCATTCATTCTTAACAATCTACTAATTTTAAAACTTGCCTTCTCTAACTCTTCAGTTTTTAATCTTGTAGTAACCATATCTCTCTTTGTATATGTTAGTCTTGTTGATGTAGCTTCTATGCCTTCAATTAATTTATCATTACACACTTGTACTGTTTCTTCTATACTATTTGTTACTTCATTCTGTGCTTGGCTAAGGACATGTTCAAGTTTTTTACATTGTTCAGCACTTGCTGAAAGTAATCGTTGTGCTCGATTCTCAAGTTCAGTTGTAATTTGAGTTTTTTTCATTTCTAAGACGGTATTTTCAAGCACTCCTACTTTTTCAGTAAGACTTTTAACTTTGAGGGTTAGTTCTAATAACTTCTTCATTACCATTTGGAGGACATCATCTGTTTGCATGATTTAATCTAATCCATTCATGATTTTTTTTTAATTTTTTATTAACAGTTAATAAAAAGAAAAAATCAAAATCTAAAAATTTATACCAAAAAGTGAAATTCTATAATGAAAATGAGTGATAATTTAGTATAGCATTAGTTTAAATTCTTATACTTTATTGTAATTTAAAGGTGAGTTTATTATTTTTCTTTATTGATTATTTTTTTTTCTGATGTTTTATATTTTAATGAAGTAACAAAAATATAGTAGTTTATGAATTTTTCTGTTTATGGATTGTGTAAGAATGAATCAAATATAATTGATTTTTTTTATCAATAAAAAATAACGATTTTGGTTGAGTTATAAATATTTTAATTTAAATTCTATTTTATTAAAGAAATTTCATACAATGATTTTATATTAAGAATTTTATTAGATACAAATAATGTATAACAAACACTAATTAATATAATATTAATTCAAGAGATAAATTAGACATTGGAATTAATACAAAATGTATTCAAGTAAACAAGAGCATAGACAATGAATAAAATATAATTTTACTTGTATCATATTCATTGAATAAACATTCATTAAATGAAAACAAGTTAAAGAATGTTCTAACTAATGATAAAACAATAGTCAATAAATATAAATATTAGTCATTCAATAGTACACTCAAATATTTTATTATTATTTATAATAGAGTTTTCAATTGATGTTGTACTATTCCATTTATTATTTTATTATTTATATATGACAATTATCAACAAGTGAGTCATTTCAATTTTATCATTTAAATGAAAAAGTATCAGATTTTTAAATTTAAATAATGAAGAATATAAATCTATTAATATATTAAATGAAATTAATTCATTATTAAAACTAATTGCTGTATAAAAATTTACTATAATATTGAAATATTTGATTTACTAGTCATTTTAATCTTTCACTTCTAATAAACAAAAACAAGAGATGTTTTAAATGTTTATAAGATAAAGGATCGAGTATAATATTTAAAATATACTTATTCTCAATAATTTTATTGATATAATGACAGTACATGGGTATATTAACAAAAAATAAATTTAAACAAAATGAATATTTCAACTGACATAGGAATAATCATAAAGAAACATTAAAAAATAGTAAAAAACATAAACTCGATCTTAATAGAAATATTAAAAGTTGAAGAATAATTATAATTGTTGAAAACTCTTATAATGAGAGAAATAAAGTGTCAACAGAAATAATAAAAAAATGACAATAATAATTTTGTGAATGATTAATGAACAAAATAATTGATTCATAGTCTTTTTACCATTTTCTTTAATCTTTCCATAAATAAAATTAAAAATAGAAGAAAAATGATAATATTTTAAATTATATTATAACTTGATATAAATGCTGGTTCTAGTCTCTAGATTTTTGATTATTCAATTCAAGAACCACTAGAAATTGAAAATGAGAATGACAACATGGAGTATTTATTTATTATGATGTTTCACCAATGGTATTAGAGGTAACAGAATCAAATCATGGCTTTCTTCATTTCTTAATTGGTATTTGTTCTATTGTAGGTGGAATATTTACAACATTCCAATTATTTGATGCTATATTATTTGAGTCTATCCATACATTGAAGAAGAACGTTTCTAGTTAATGTAAAAATAACAGTAAGTATAATAATAAAAAATGAAAACCAATTTTACTAACAAAAGAAGAAGCCACAAATTAAAATTAGGATATTTTGATTAGTACTCATAATCTTCAATACCACTATTTTGGTTTAATAAAACCTTAATAATCTTCTTAGTACATTGTCTATAAAGGGCTCTGTACTCTGCTTTTGCTTGATGTCTTAATTTAGAGAAAACATGTTTTCCTTTTCTTCTCATTTGTTTAAGAAGTGCTCTAGCAGTTTTAAGAATAGCAATTTCTTTTCTTTCAGCTTTATGATATTCATGAGCAATTTGTTTTTCAGCACCTTTTGAAATATGTTTAACTTTTCTTAAATTATGAGTGTTAATTTTCAATGTATTTTGTGTTGTTTTAAGTCCGTTAGAAATATTGTCACCAATAGCATGAATACCAAGTTTAGCTGCATTATTATTAGCATCACCAATTTGTTTAGCATAAGCTAATTGTTTAAGAGTTCTATTAAGAACAGCTGAAAAAGTAGTAACTAACTTTTGAATACCAAAACGAACAGTTTGTTCTTTTTGTCTAATAGCGTTAATCATTCCATCAATAATTGGTTTAATTTGTTGTTTAATATCATCATCAGCCATATTATAATATTCCATTAAATGTCCAAGTTTTCTTGTTCCATATTTAGCTAATCTATTTGCTAATCCTTCACCTTTCTTCCTTATGACATTTCTTGCTCTGTTAATAACAGCAATAGTCTTATCAAGCTTAGCATTGATTTTTAAATGATATTTATGAACTTTATGAAGAGTCCTTGCTTTTTTTCTTAAAATTGAACCATCTACTCTACCAAGTTTTTTTACAGAAGCCATATGGGTATGTCTTGATTGAACTACTGGTTGAGCTTGTTCTTGAACATTTTCTTGAGTAGTAAACTGAGCATTGATCATAAAAACGAATAAACAAAGTAATAAAAGACTTCTCATCTTTTAAAAGAAAAAGTATGAAGTTAGATTAGTTCTAGCGAAGAAACTACTTTCAATATGGAATCATAGGAAAGATGGTTTAGTAAATTATTATTTCTTAACTATAAAGATAACAAAGTAACTTTGATTTTTGTGCTTACTACTCAAATTTTATGTCAGTTATTGAATAATTTCGGTTGTTAGTTTGTACCACCAATTTTTCTTTAATTTTTTGTTTTAAAAAAACGTTTTTTATTTTATTTTTCTTTTTTTGTGTTTTTCCAAAAAAAAAGATGAAAAGATAAAAAAATAATTAGGGTTTGATGGAAATCATGAAAAAGTGAAAAATAATATTTATGATAAAAGAAACAGAAAAATATTAAAAAAGGAACTATAAAAAAATAGGGTTTTCAATTTTCCCAAATCGCCAACTAGGGTTCACGAATTTGAAACAGATAAAAAGACAAAAAGAGAAGATTTAAAAGAATAAAGAGAACTTAAAAACATCAAATTGAATTTTTAAATTCATGTCAGACAAAGCCAGTCAAAAGAAATCTGTTGCTACTAAAGACGCTACCAAGCCAAAAAAAGCTGGAGATGAAGAAAAGAAAACTATGCTCAAGAAGAATTTTGAGTCATATGCCTTGTACATTTCAAGAGTTTTGAAATCAGTTTTCCAAGATATTGGAATTACACTTCCATCTATTTCTATTATGGATTCATTTGTTCGTGATATTTTTGAAAGAATTGCTACTGAAGCTTCATCTCTTGCAAGAAATTACAATAAAACCACCATCACTGTCAAAGAAATTGAAACAGCCACTAAACTTATTCTTAAAGGTGATTTGAATAAACATGCAGTTTCTGAAGGACAATCGGCTGTTAAGAGAGCATCTGGTAAAGGAAGTACTTCAGGATCTCAAGTTTAATCTGGTTGTGTTCAACTTGTTTTTTTGGTTTTATTTATTTTTGTTTTTTTAGAGTTATTTTGTAATATTCGTTTCTTTGAATGATTGAATCATATGAAATTTATCTTTTCATTTAAAGAGTTATTCAATGAGAATCTATGAAGAAAAAAATAAAACTCATTCTTCTTCAATGTTTTATGATGAATATGGTAGCTTGTTAAGTAAAGGCTTTGTCTCTTCTAAAAGACATGCTTTATAAATTTATTAGAGATAGTCTAAAACTATCATTTAAAAAAACTTTCAATAATTTCTGGTTCATTAAAATGAAATACAATTTAATAACAAAGAGTTGAAAATTTTATATGATGAATTGTATATTAACTTATTTTTAATCATTACCAAAAAAAGTATTTTATTTTGGTTGATTATTTTTAGGTTCATTATTTAAAGAAATAATATTCAATTAAAAATTTAGAATAGATAAAATGATAATTAGAATAAACAATAGAACCAAAATTAAACACTTTATTTTTATCCTCTAAATAGTTTATATGATCAAAAAAAAAAGAAACCAAACAAAGAATGAATCTCGAAAAGGATAAAATAATCTGACTAAAAAAGTATATGGCTCGTTTATATGCATTAACAGTCATTCATATAGAAGATGATAGTAAAACAAAAATACTTTACTGCAAATCAGATTTGGGATGTTTTGGATTATTTCAAAGTAACACAATCAAAGAATTTATCCGATTTGGATTTATTGAAATGTCACAACGATGTGAAAGAGATAAGAGAATGGTTATTAAGTCAAATGAATATGGAGGTGTTTTATTTAATTTATTAGTTAAACCTGATGGACTAGGAATTGGAATATTAACAAACCTTGATTATCCTAAAAATACGATCACTTATATTATTCATCGCTCATTTGAATTATTTTATTATAATATAGTTGATGATATTATTACCTCATCATGTATTAAAAGTTCATCTAGTGAATTAGACTATCTCTTTACACATTTTAATAATCAAAAGAATTGTAAATTATCAAAAGAAGAAATGATCAAAACAGAATTAGATGAAACAAATGAAAAAATGAGTGTATTAGTAACTAAATTAATTTCAAGAGAAGATGAACTTCAAGATATTGTCTCAAAATCAGAAATTCTTTCAGATAAGTCTAAAGTTTTCTTCAAAAAAGCAAAGAAGTCAAAACGTTGTCATGTTCCTTGTGTAATACAATAAACAAATTTTATTTTTAAACAATTCTCTCATAAATAAATCAAAACATAAAAAGTGCTACAGTCAAAATAAATAATTTTTAATCTAAATTTTATTTTCATTAGTTGATGTTTCATTTACTAAAAATGACTTTATTTTCTCAATTAAAAGTATAGTTTCAGGTGATTTTGGTTTAACTTCTTCAATATACAAATCTCCTTTGCTTTGAATAAATAATTCAATTGGACTTGAACATGCTAATGCATAATTTGATTCAACCTATTCGTTAGTACATTCCAATGAAATAAAAAGAAAACAAACTTCAAATATATTTAAAATAGATTTAATCAAAAGAAAGAGGATTCGTTCATTAGAACAAATAAACATTCTTTGAAGGCAGAAACTACCCAATTCAATAAAATAATTATTTACTAATAATTGAACAATTTTAACATTATTTGTTGAAGAAATAAGAACAGTTGAAATGAAATTAATCGAAGAATATGCAATATTTACGAAATTATGAGTGAAACAACCAATAATAAATGCAACAGAATTTGAAGAACATAATAAAAGATCATTAAATCGTTGATGATATTTTTCTATTGAATTAATACTATATAAAAAATCAATCAAATGATAAAGTATTGTAACTGAACTATTAGGAATAAGGTTAAGAAGAGAAAGAATAAATTGGTCAATATACCTAATAGTATTTGGATATACTTGAATCCATTCAGTTATTAAATTTAATAAACCTAATTTACAATACTCACTAATGTGCATTAAAAGAACACTATATTGTTTCATTATCCCTTGTTCTAAAACTCTTTCTATAAGTTCTGGTGAAATAACTGAAGTATTTTTCATTATATCAAGTACATCATATTCAGAATCACCATGAAATTTTAAAAAGTTATCTCTTAAATAAAAAAAGAGTGTATTTGTAAATTCATTATATTCTTTTGGTAATCCTCTTGTGAAAGAACTAAGGAAACGAAGAAGTGAAGTAAGACTTTCTTCATTTAATATTGGAGAATTACATATGATCCGAATAATGTCCATTAAAGAGACTAATAAATCTTTTGATAATAAATTATTACGTAGTGTTTGTCTATCATATATTAATTCTGCCAAAAAGTCTAATGACTTAATAAAGATATGAATTGAATCAATAGATGGTGGCTTTTTAATAACGTTAATTAAATATGACATTAACCCACAATCAAAAAATATATTTATTACATTCTCATCAAGAGAACTTACTAATTCACATAAGAGTGATAATAATGCTTCAACAACTGAAGCCGATCTTTGTGTTAAGATATTCAATTGATTAAATAAACTTGCATTCAATATATCTAATGGGCATTCTTGTGACTTAATAATATTTTTAAAAATGTCCAATGCTTGTATAACAGTTTCATCATTACTTGATAGAAGGTCTTGATACATTTGATGTTGGGCATATCCAACTGGTGAGTCAGATAACTCAACAAACTCGTTTTTCCTCTTTTTATTTAACATATTTAGTCTTAAATTACTTCTTAACGTTTCATGTAACTTTAGTTGATCTTTTATTCCATACACCGAGACTCTAAATGACATTGAATGAGTATTATTAGTTTTAGTTCTATTTATCTTTAACTTAGTTTTAATAAATTGAGTTTTCTTTATTACTCTTCATTTTTGATATATATAACAATATAATAAATACCCAATACCTCACACTTTTAGTTTGGTTAATGAACGTTATAGAAGAAATGATGGTGAGATGGCTGTGGGTGTGATTGCCTTAATGTTATACCATTACAGTCTCAAAAAATAATTTTAGGATAAAAATGAGATATAATATAAAAAATGAGATTGGAGAAATGATAATTTCATAAAGAGAACTAAGAAAGTTATGTCATTAACTCAAGAGCAAAAAGACGCCTTTAAAGCAATTTTTATTGAAACAGTCACAAATTTTGCTCAAAAAGTAGGTCAACCAACCGAAAAAGTATTTCTTCAAATCCTTCCACTTACTGTTGTTGCAGGAACTGAATATCTAAAGTCATATGAAGAAGACTTAAAAACAAAACTTGAAGACAGCAAAGCTAAATCTCAAAAAATAATTGGTGCATTGTCTACAGTTAAGGAGCCTGAAAAAATAGAAAAGTCAGGAGATAAACATCTTCCTCTTGGAGAATTACTTGGAAAAAGAGTTCAAAGAGGAGAAGACTGGAAATGGGATGATCAAGATGGTGGAATTGGATCATTTGGAAAAGTAGTTGGAGTAAAAGGTAATGGATGGGTCAAAGTACAATGGGAATCAAGTAGAAATGAGAACAGATACAGATGGGGAGTTGATAAAGCTTACGATGTTAAGGTTGTTGAAATAGTAGATGATTTAGGAGATATCCCACCATTAGAAGAACAAATTAAAAAACCTACTAGTTGGGTTATTGGTAAAAGTGTTATTAGAGGAAGAGATTGGAAATGGAAAGACCAAGATGGAGGAGAAGGACAAATTGGAGAAGTTATTGATGTTTGTGATGAAGGATGGGTTGAAGTTAAATGGAAGAATGGCACAGTTTGTCAATACAGATGGGGAGGAGAGAATGCATATGATTTACAAGTAGTTCCTAAACCAAAAGAATAAGAAGAATACTTTTTACATTAAGTTGTTTTATAGTTTTAAGTAATTATTATTGAAGAATAAAAATGAATTAAAATTAAAATGTTTTTTTTAATGAAGAAGACTATTTAACTAATACCGGACCAAATTCTGAACAACTGAATAGAGTGCCGTTGTTTGACTTAAATTGAAATTGACCTTTCCATTTAGTTCCAATTGGAGTTATAGGTGGAACTTCAAATCGAATTTTAAATGAAGTAGTTCCATCATTTAATGGACAATATAACTCTAGTTTACATAAATCCTTTGAAAGTTGTGGAACAGATATCCATGATGAACCAACTTTCATCCATAAATCAGTATAAAGATTTAAAGAATCAACTTTTTTATTAAATTTTCCAGTAAATGTGATGACTGATGCTAAACCACTCACTGGAGGCCAAGGTAAACCTTCTATTGTAGAAATAGTAAATGTTTTAATTTCACTACAGACATTAAAAGGGATTAATGTAGCTAAAGAGAATGAAATAAGTAATAAAAAAAATAATGGGTTAACCAATGGCATGTGAATCAGTATTTGTTCAACTGTCAACAATCCAAATAAGTTTTTAATTCTTTTGAAAAGAGAAAAGTATTTTTATTTTTTTTTGGTAATAAAATAATATCAAAAATAAAATAAATAGTAATAAAAATATAATCTTGACAATTGATTTTTTGTTTCATTGACACGTGTCATTGTTTTATGTATTTTAAGCAATCTTTATTAATAATATTGTTATAAATAATAAATAAATTCAAAGATTATTTTTTATTAAAGAAATATGTTTTTTACTTTTTCTTTTTTGAATAACACAAAATTTTATTGTTTTTTTTTTTTGAAAATATAAAAAATAATCACAAAAGACTTTGAAATAATAAAGAAAATAATTATGGAATTAAGTTATATATTAACAATTATTGAAGCTGGAGTTTGTGTTGTTGTCTTCCTAATATTAATGCTTTTTATGATAAGAAAGTGTTTTCGTGTTTCTCACCAAAAAAAGAAGAAACCTTCTAAAATGTCATTCAATCGTTTGTACTTTATTCTCTTCTCATTACTCAAACAATTGAACCAAACTCATTACATTTAGCATATGTTTATAAAACAACTACAAAATTCACTACATATCCACCAATTCCTCCACCAATTATAATTCCTGAAAAATCAAAATTATATAATCCATTAGAGTCTATGGTCAATATTGAAATTGTATTACCAAAATCAAAATCTCCTGCTCTAGAACCAGTTGCTCCAAAACAAAAACCACAACCAACTGTTGATTTAAATCATTCTCCAAAACAACTTCTTTCTGTTGACAAAATGAATTTACCTGAATTACCTCAAAGCAATGTCAAAATAGAAAATGTTAATGATGTATTAAGAAGAAGTCTTACTACACAAGGAATTGCAAATATTACTCCATTGCTCACTCCGATTGATAATTCTCCAAGACTTAATCCACCTTCAAGTGCATTAGTTGGAATTGGCACAAGTCCATTATTGACGCCAAGAGTTATGGTTCAGAATTCAAATGCAATAAAAAATCCACCTCAAAGTGCAATGATTGGAAGAAAAGTTCAAGTTGTGATGAACAAACAAAACGAGTCTTTAAGAAATAAGAATAAAGAGTCAAAATCACCTTCATCAAGTTTAAGTGATTCAATTGAAGAGGAGAAAGAACATTAAATTAGAAAGTTGAATATACTCCACGTCTCTTCCACGTTCGTCAAAGTAAAATGTAAAATAGTTCGAAGAACTAAAAGGATTATTTGTTATGTCTGAAGAATCATATCCATCAGTTATTGGTAAAATTAATCATTTGGCTTCTCAAAGAGAAAAACCAGTTTGTTTGATTGCTGTAAGTAAAACAAAACCAAAGGAAGCTATACAACATTTATATAATGTATACAACCACCGTGTTTTTGGTGAGAATTATATTCAAGAACTTCATGAAAAAGCAACAGAATTAGAAGAAGTATGTCCAGATATTGAATGGCATTTTATTGGTAGATTACAATCAAATAAATTGAAGCTTCTTGTTTCTACACCTCATCTTAAGTGTGTTCAGACAGTTCATTCAATAGAAATTGCAGAGAAATTAAATAAAGCATGTATCAATGCAAATAAAACTATTGATGTTATGGTCCAAATAAATAGTAGTGGTGAAGAGCAAAAAGGTGGTGTTTCTGTTGAGGAAGCAATAAGCGTTGTTAAAGAAGTAATGAAATGTTCAAATCTTCATTTCATTGGTATTATGACAATTGGAATGGTTGGTGATTCTAAAAAGAATTTCACAACTATGAAACAATTAGCTGATACCATCTGTTCCCAAGAACATTTAGGATCAATTGAAATTTCAATGGGAATGTCATCTGATTATGAACAGGCTATTGAGTTAGGAGCTACAATGGTTCGAGTAGGAACTGCTTTATTTGGTGCACGTGATTATTCGAAGCATCAATAAATGTCTAAAGTCTTATAAAACCATACGTAAGAAAGATTTAAAAAGACAAGAAGAGAAGTTACGTGAAATTGAGATATTCTTATTTTTTTTTTTGATATTTATTATTCTTTCAATAGAACCAAAAAGAAGAAAAGTATTTTTGTGAATATTCTTTATTTTTGTTTTTTAAAACAAGAAATGAAATAGTTTTTTATAGTAAAAAACTAGTTTGAAAAACTAATAATACAAACTATTAGCTCAATATGTCAGAACAGCCTAATGGGATTCATTTGCTTGTCCAAATACTTCGTTCTATTGAAGAATTCAAACAATGGCTCTTACAAAGACCAAAAAGCAAAGAAGTTGATTTGTTATTGCATGGAACACCAATAGAAGAAATGGAAACAACAACTATGCATGACTTTATGGTTTCATTACAGAAACATATTAATGAGGCATTGATAAGTGATGAAGAAGATGGATGTCCATTAAATGGTATTCTTATTACAACAAACCAATGTTTAAATTGTAATATTGAATGGACACAATCTGCATCACCGTTTTTTATTACTATAGAAAAGAATATTGATATTCAAATTGACTCAGTTCAGAAAGCAATTATTTCATTCTTAGAGGCTCATTATTGTTCAAGAAAACAGTGTGGAGTATGTAATAAAGATTTAATGGTAATTAATGAATATTTATTTGCACCAAAAATCTTGTGTGTTGAACTTGCTCATTTAGATGTTCCTTTAAACCTTGGGAAATCCATTGTTGTTAATGGAATGGAATATGATTGTATTGCTGCGATTTACAAGAGGAATAATGTCTTATATTCTACTAGGCTGTCAAGTACAAATGAATGGATATATTCTGATCCATCAATTGGTGAGTTATTACAATCAGATGATATTCAATTTACCTTCTTTAGACAAAAACCAAGTTATTTGCATGACCTGTGAATTATTATAATCAACACTCTTAAAAATTATTAAACACAATCTTCTTTTAACTGTTTTTCTTTTTTTAAATTTATAGAAAGAAACAATTTAAACGATAAATCAAAATAATATATATAATTAACTGCATTTTTGATTGTGAGGTTTTAACATAAAAGTGATTAAATATGTTTAAGACTAGTTTATATTCATGATTTTTGTGATAATGCTTAACTTAGAAATAGAATTTGATTTTGTATTTTTATAACTTGAAACAATCTTATAAACATTTTATGTTTAATATTTTTCATCTTGTCAGAGTGTTTGTACCTAATTTCTTTGTTAGAAAATGAGTTACTAACAACGAATTAAAAAAAAAGAATTATTGTTAATAAAACATTACTGTTATACACATTCTATAAACAAGTAATCAGTAATTTTCTTCAAGTATTGTGTTTGTTTGGATATTTTATTTTCATTTAAGATAAGAAGAATTTATTATTACATCAAATATTACAATTGTATTTTCTGTAAAATGAAATTTGCTTTACCCTTATGTTTCATGTTCCAATGCATTATATTTCATTTATATTAGTCACGAGTCTTAATTCAGAGAAAGTACTTGATGAGTATAGTAATAACCATACAACATTCACAATAAATAAAAAATAAATTATTAGTAATTATAAACATAATTATACTTAGAATGAGTCAATAGAAGTATATTAAAATTAGGTAATATCATAAAAATTAAATGAATAAGAACAAGATAATTATTATTCAGTGAAAATGAAAACATCAACAATGCCTCTTTGAAATGATATTCTTATTTGTTATTTATCAATAAGAATCTCTGCATTATTCAAGTGTTTTATCTTGTATTTTTGTTGTTATATACCATATAAGTTAAATCAATGTCATTTTAATATATTTATTTTTGAAACAACATATTATTGCATACTCTTATTTTAATTTAACTATTCTTTATTTTTATTAGTTAAACAATTACTTTCATTATCTTAAAATCATCTTACAATAGTTGATTTAATAATAGTCTGAATAATTATAATATAATTATGCTATTTTTATTTTCATTAATTATTATAGAAATGAATTATTAATTGAAATAGAAGTGAACTATAATGAGAAAAATAATAATTATAATGCATGAATGTTTTATGTTATCTCTTGTCATTCTAAACTTCAATATTTCATAAAATTATCAATAATAACTAGATAGGTTTGAAAATAATGTTAATCTAAATGAAATTAACAATAAATTCAGTAGTTACTATGAAAGAAATATCAATAATAAAAGAAATATCAATTCATTCAATACAGAATTGCTATCAAAAAATTATTTTCAAATAAAATGTGTTTGATGTTGATAATTAATAAAACTAATTTTAATTCAACAAAGTAATAAAAAGAATTTAAACAGTCTATTAATTATTAATTATTATATTATTCTGTTTCATGTTACTTGAAATATATAAGACAAGTGAAATTCAGAAATAAGAATAGTTAAAATGTAATAGAAAGAATGTGTGTCTTATTTTTTTTCAAAAACATTGTCACATCTACTCAATACAAGTCATTACATTATTTAATTATTTAATTCTGCATTAAATAATAATATATATTATATTTGAATATATTTAACATGATATCAAAGAGATATGATTTATTGTTATAATATGTTGTTATGATATAGTATCAAATGTTCAATAAACAAATAAAGAGAAAATAATATAATAGCAAAATAAATTATAAATGCAATAAATAATAATAAATTGAAGTCTCATTCGCAAAGTTATTGTTCAAATGTTATGTGTTATTATAAAATTTAAGATGATATAAAAGATTTATCAATAATGTCAATAGTAAATAAAATATACCATTAATAACTCATGTTCATAGAATAATAATTTATAATAACACTAAAAATATATAACATGTTTGTGCAAAAGAATAAAAATAAATGATAACTTTCTGAAGTATTTCATTAAATAGTTAGTATATTCTTTACCACAAACAAACCTGAGTATTACAAAAGATAGATAAGTAATAAAGTTATTGACAGTTTATTACTTTTCTGTATGTCATTATCAAACTAAATAATAGTTAAGTTATCAATAGAGAAAATAAAAATAACCAAATCTTTGATAATATTGTTAGGAATAATATTATTTTTTTTAAATTACACTTTAAAATAAAAAAAGTGTATTTTGAGTAATATTTTAAATCATAAATATGATATATTAAAAAGCTTAATCAATCCTGTTTATAAAATGGATTTACTTCTTTATTTTACTATAAAATTTTGTTTTTTTTTTTTTTGATATTTATTTCTTTTTTAGTAATACCACTTGTAATATGTTGATAATTATTTTCTCTATTACATAAAAATAGAAATAAGTTGATAAGTAAAAAGAAGCATTGATTCAATTCTTTCCAATTTAGTTATTAATTAGAATAAGAAATATGTTTATTGACATAGAACTTCATTTCTCATTTCAAAGTATTAGAAATTAGGGAAAGGATGATATTTGTTATAATTCTTGAAAGTAATGAAAATATAAGAAGAGTAAGTTATAAACTCAATTAGTTTTATAGTTTAATGGTACTTTAATGTATTAAATCTAACAGTCTTAATATTCAAAATGTATTTATTTCTGTGGATTATTCTCTTCCCAAGGTTTTTCCATTTCAACATTGACAACTGGATGACCAATTAAATCACGGATAACAGACTCAGCACATTTAACTCCAAACATTGAAGTAATATAAGAAAGTGTTCCAAACGATGACTTTTTAAAACGCTCTTGATGAAACATTAAAGCAGCTCTATCAGGTTCTTCTGAACTAAATACACAATTAAACCCTGAACGAATACCATGTTTGTGTAATCTGTAACGAACAAGACGAGTCAAATTATCTTTGTGGCTTAAGGAAATATCAGCAATTTGAATTTTTGTTGGATCAAATCTTCCACCTGCACCCATAGAAGATACTAAAGGAATTTTAGCTTCCATTACATTTTTAATCAAAAACACTTTTGGAGAAACACTATCAATAGCATCTACAACATAATCAAATCCTGCTGAAACTAACTCATGAATTCTTTCATTCTCTAAAAATTCTACAACTGTCTTTACTTCGATTTCTGGATTAATTCTTTCAAGTCTTTGTTTAACAATACCTACTTTAGACTGACCAACTGTTGAAGGAATAGCAGGAAGTTGACGATTAATATTTGAGACAGAAATTGTGTCGGCATCAACAATAGTTAATTGACCAATTCCACATCGTGCAAGAATTTCAGCAGTATATGAACCAACTCCTCCAAGTCCAACAATTAGTATATGTTTTGACTTTAAAGAATCTCGTTGTTCTTGAGAAAGCATAGTACAAATACCATTCATTATGTTTTATTTGTATCTTTTAGTTTTATATTTTTTATTTTCTAAAAAATATGAAAATAAGAATTATAAAATTTTAATTTACGACTTATCAACACCCTTCTTCTTTTCTTCATACGATACAACTCTGAATTATCTTCATGTCATTATCCCTTCTTACAAAATATCTTAGTTTTGTTATTTTGAATAATTTTTTCATAATGAATCTGATTTGAATATTGAAAATATTCATATCCAAACAACTTTATTACTGTATTTCTTAAGATGACAAAACCATACCTTGTAAAAATGTTTATTTTTTTAAACTTACGATATGTCTGTTGTTATGATAAACATTTTCAATCAAGAGATTTAACTTTGTAAATCTTTTAATAATAAATATCATCTCATTTCATTCAATGACTCATTTGTATTAATTGATCAAGTCACTGTACTTATTGATAAAGAATTTAGTTATGAAAAAAAAACACTTTTAAACACTTAACTACCATTAAAGTTGAATTTTAACGTTATAAGACATTATAAAGGATCTAAAATCAATTAATGAAAATGGAAGTTTATTTATTATATTTATGAAAATATTGATTGAGTAGCTAATAAAAATATTTTTTTTATGAAAGAACTAACCTATACCGAATGACCAGTTTTTGTTTCTTTTGCTTTGATATCTACTACTAGTGATTGCTTTTCAATACTTTAAGAAGGAATAAATTCAAATTACATTATATTTTTTATAAAGTTTTAATAAAAATAATATTTTCATAAAAATAGGGAAAAATAGCTGAATGAAAAGGGAAAAAAATATTATTAATGAATTGAAAAATGTTGTGTTTTGTGAATTTTTGTATTATAAAAAAAGAATATGAAAAACAAAAAAATGATTGGTGCATCTCAAAATAATTATATTTAAACTAATGACACAGAAGAAAGATGACTTCAATTTGAAATCTAAAGAAGAAGAAAAGCAAATGATTGAATTCACAAATGCATTACAAGACAACATGAAAAAAGTCTTACCAAATTTAAAAAAAGTTATTGATACTTTAGAACAATACTGTGAAACTGAAACTGCTTTAAACCAAGTTACAGTAAAAGTTATTACTGCCCTTGATGGAATTGCTGAAACTGGAATGGGAGATTTCAATAAAGGAATTGCTGTTGTTAGAGAAATTCTTTGTGATTTGTATAATGGAAGACAGACAAGTATTAATCAAGGAACATTAATGCTTTTAGACTCTCTTAAAAAAGAATACACTGCTAGAAGTAAAGAAGTACAACAGTTATCAACAAGTACAACAAAAGAAAGAAAAAAATTTGATCAAGACTTATCTAATGCAGAAAAGAAAACGGCATCTACTTCTAATTTTAAAGAAGCTATGGAAGAATATAAACGTATAGAAAAAGAAAGACAAAAAATTTTAATGAGTCATTTACAAGTAACTGTTATGTCTAACAGAGCTACTTTTGGTTCTATTATTGGGTCATTTGCTTTATTCTTTAAATCTACTGGTAGTTCATTGACGTCATCTGGAGATAAGTTCATTTCATATGAGCCTTGGCTTAATAAATTATCAAAGTCTAAGTCTAATATCCCGAGAGAACTACGTGCTTTGATGACAAATAAAAAACAAAGTTATGTAAATCTTTCTGGTATCTCTACTGAATTAAAACAAATTTTAAAATCTGCTCGTTTAAAACCTTCTCACTTAGCAAACAAGGAAATAGTTACTCAACTTTATATCACTATTAAACAAATGGTAGATGCTGGTCAACTTCCTTCAGATTTACTAGACCAATTGAAAACAACTGGAAATGTTGATGAGCGTGTTCTTCAACAAACTCAAACCGCTCGTAGACCAACTAAAACAGGATGGGTAAGTGCTCGTGTCCCTGGTAAAGGAGGTTTTAAACCAAAGTCAAATTCACAACCTTCTCAAAAGGCTACATACAACCAACAACCAACTCAGTCATTTAATGCACCACCACCTCCTCCTCCTTCATATGGTGGACATCATAATGTTCCACCACCTCCTCCTCCAGCATTTGATACAGGTTGTGGTGTTCCACCCCCACCTCCTCCAGCTCGTGGTACAGGCTGTGGTGCCCCACCACCCCCACCCCCTCCAGCATTTGATACAGGTTGTGGCATTCCACCACCACCACCTCCTGCTCGTGGTACAGGTTGTGGTGCTCCACCCCCACCTCCTCCTCTAAATGCCCCACCACCCCCTCCACCACCAGCTCATGGTACAGGTTGTGGTGTCCCACCCCCACCACCTCCATCTTTGAATAATCCACCATCCAATATATCTACACCTAAAGCCTCTGCACCTTCTCTTCTAGATCAGATTCGTGGAGGTACATCCCTTAAGAAATCTACTGATAGAGTCCTTCAGCCACCAAAAGAAGAATTAACAGCTCAACAAAAAGGAGACTTAACCTCATTATTATGTGGTGTTATGGCTAATAGAAGAAAAGATATTGCTGACGATGAATATGATGATGATGATGACTCATCAGATGAATGGTCAGAATAAAAAGGTAATTTCATTTTTAATAAAAAGGTTCTACTCTGTTTTTTGAATTTGCACTAAAAATGTCTTGTATTTCTTTTATTTAATTATCATAAAAACAGAAAGACTTTAACTCTAATCTTCAGATTGAACATGAAAAATCAATTAATTAGATGTATGAAACACACTCTTACTCACTAAATTAGTTATTCAAAAAATGATCAAAACAATACAGTGTTTAAACACACTACCTTCTTTCATATTCTCTATCACTACAACACCTTCAAATGAAAGTTATAAACCTAAATATTGTAATTTCTTTGCAATCAGTCAAACCTGATAATTTGATAACTAAGGAAAATTACTTTAAAAAGTGTTAGCTTCATGCTTTTTTCTTCATCAACTCCTTGAATATATTTAGATTGGTTGATTATTAAGGCTGTAAATTTGATTATGTTGTCATTACCAGTCTTAGTTTGTTTTTTATTTAATTAAAAATATCATTGGATATCTTATAACTATTTACCCCCTTAACTAATCATTCAAATTATTTTAATTTAATACAAAATTTATTATAACTAATATCTTATCAATTTTATCTCACTAACCACGTTGTTTTTATTTAATATTTTTAAGATTCACAAGTTTTTGAATAAATTTCGTATAAACGATTTAATAAGAGTATTTATAACAGTCAATCCTTTTTTTCTGTTCTGCCCTTTACTCTTTCTCATACCTTTTTAATGTCCAATTCTTAAGTAAACTTTTATATTAAGACATTTCTTATATAAACCAATTGTTCATATATTCTCTTATTCGATTTTTTAAATCTATAACTCTCTTGTCTTAGTCTTCCATTAGCATTTTAACCATAGACAATCCTGTTGCCTAAGTTTTTCTTGAATATTTCTTTGAGACATACATTTTGCTATGTTTGTAGAAAAATACATTTTGAACGATTATTTTTTCTTGACTTTCTTATTCCGTTGAACCTTTTCAACAGACATACTACATCTATTTTGTCTTTGTTTCTTATCTGTTTTTACCAAAAAGATATTTTAATTGAAATAAACTCATGACATTATTTTCAAGTTGGTTTTTATACAAACAATGTTTAATTTTATATCTTTTAGTGGTTCAATAATACTATACCACTCTCATTGAATTTGATATTACTTTGTGTGACTCACTAATAAACACTGATTATTTTATTTTCATAAATACATTTTCTTGATGCTCTAAAAGGTATTATCTTAGTATGTAATGTACATGAATTATTACATTGTAACATATGTTAAATCATAGTAATAAGTAATTGTGGTGCTCATTGTCATAAAATTAATATAATAATATGTGTTATCATTATGTTTAATAGAAACTAGTTATAAAATGAATTATTGAATAAACATTATTAACAGAGAATAATGTGTTTGTGGCTATTCTAACACAAAATCAAATAAAAGATCACAGAAGAAGAAACACATTTACATGTTTTTCAATATCAGAGTGTGAAAATTTATTGATTTAAAAATATAACTACCAATAAAATAATAACACACTATGAATAATATAAAATAAGTATTAAAATTGGTTTTACAAATACACAAATTATCTAATTGGTTGGTAGTAGAAAGTTGCTTGATAAAGAATGACAAAAACAGTAGAATAACGACGATATAGATTTGGTTTATGTTTAATTTATGTATTTTCATAGCTTTCAATTAGGGTTGAATAAGTTGACTATTTCATACAATAAAATTTTCAATAGAATCATATCATTATTGGGAAATAACTTCCACAAAAACCCTTTAAGAAACACAAAACTCAATAACTAATTAAATACATTACATCATGTCAAAACAAAGAAGAGATTATTATGAAGTTCTTGGAGTTGACTCAACTGCTACAGATGAAGAAATTAAAAAGGCATACCGAAAATTAGCACTAAAATTACATCCTGATAAATTAATTGATGTTGATCCTGAGGAAGCACAAAAAAATTTTCAAGAATTAGTTGCTGCATATGGAGTATTGAAAGATCCTAATGAACGACAATGGTATGACCAACACCGTGATTTGATATTGGCAGGATTAAATCGAGCAGATGAAACAGTAATTAACTTATATGAATATTTTAACAGTGATTGCTTTGATGAGTATGATGAAAGTGAAAATGGGTTTTATACAATTTATAATAATTTATTTAACTCAATTCTTGAAGAGGAAGGTGGAGGAAAAAAATTAATGTCATTTGGAACAAGTAAAAGTACAATTCAAGAAGTTAAAGGGTTTTATGAAGAGTGGACTCATTTTAAATGTCAATTAGAATTTTGGAACAAAATGCCAAATGAACTTTCTGAAGCACCAAATAGAACAGTTAGAAGAATGTGGGAAAAAGAAAATCAAAAAATCAAGGAAAAACTCCGTTCTGAACGAACACAAAACATAAGACAACTTGTTAATTTTGTTCAACGAATGGATCCACGATGGGAATTAGTCAAAGCTGAATTAATAAGAAGAAAAGAAGAACGTGAAAAACAAATAGAATTGAAAGAAGCTGAACGTAAAAGAAGAGAAGAGGAAATGAAAAGAAAACAAGAATTAATTGGAGAACAATTTGAAATTTCACAAGAAGAAGCAGCTGAGATTGAACGTATTTCAAGGTATTATTCAGGAAATAATACTGACATTGGTCAAAATCAAAATGATATACAAGATGACCAAATAGAAGAAGAAGAAGAAATTACTGAATGGTGTTGTGTCGTTTGTGAAAAAACCTTTAAAAGTGAAAATCAATTAAAAAGTCATGAAAATAGTAAAAAACATAAAATGGCAGTTAAGTTATTAAAGAAACAAATGCAACAATTTAATTAAATAGTGTTAAAGAAATCAATTCATTTTTTATTTGGTTATTTACTAATTAAAGAATAAAAAAGCGTTGCTAAAATAAAAATGACTATTATCTTATTATCCAAGACAAATCATCATGGAAGTTAAAATCATGATTACAGAACTTTCATCAGCATCATCCATATATACTTCTTCTGGAATAATTTTACATCTACATTTATTCAATGCTTTTGCAACAAAAGAATAATTAATTGATGAACTCTATTTAAATAAGTTTTCTTTATTTGATAATTTTTTTGAAAATAACAATAATTAAACAAACATTTGAAAGATATTTTGGATCAAGTAAATCTGGTCTTCTTTTACTAATAATATAAGCAAATGCCCTTCCATCTCGGAATGTTGAACTAAAATCTTCTACTTCAATTCCACTTCCATCTAATAATGCATTAACCCACATCATTAATCCTTCCATTCCTTCACTCTTTTGTACTTTTACTTTGTTTAATATAAAAGATTCAAAAAGTAACATAATAAATTTAATAATTTCTGTTTCATTCCCTCTCACAATATCCATTGGATCAATAAGTATACTTACTTTACATAATTTGACTGTATTAGCAATAATTGTTCCAATATTATGAATCTTATCAACAATTTCAATTGCATTTGGGTTTATTTGTAATTTACTTTGTGATAACTTTTCAAATAATTCTACAAACAAATTTCCTTCTTTGAGTTCTGACATTTTAATTTTCTTTCCTAATGTATTTTCCATAAATTCTAGACAGACTGTTTGTCTCATTGCTTTTTGGTTTAAATTTTCTGTTGGACATTTATCTAATAACAATTGTTTATTTCCATTACTAACAATATGACTTGAAGATTGAACTTCTTTATGTTGTTGCTCTGAAATACTAGAGGGAGGTGGTTTTCTTGAAACACTAGTAGATTTCATCAAAGAAGGTGTTTCCTTCTTTGATTGTGATGGTGATATTTTAGATTGTAATGGAGCTTCTATTTGAGATGACAATAAAAATTCAAGTTCTTGTCTGTTTTGAACCAAATCTTGAATGACAAAATTAATTGCTTGAAGCCAATATGAAAGGGTTTTATAGTCACCATATAATCCTGTTGTTCTTGTTGATTCATTAATTTGCAGAAGAAATTTGTTTGAAGTTTCTTGTTTAATATTATTACTAGTTATTGATTTAATATTTATAGTTGACAAAGGATTTTTTTTATTTACATCAGAGTAACTATTATAGAAATAAATATTGTCCTTAGTGAGTATCCAAACGCTAGGTGATTTATCTCCTTTTCTATAGCCAGTGTTTGATAGAATGACTTCAGTCATGAAATGATTTAATTAGTTCTCTTTCTTTTTCTCTCAATTTAAATCCAATCTTTTGATAAAAATTCTTCATCATTTTTTTTCCTAATTCTTCAATTTTTTCTTTTTAAGTTAAGAAATGTCATTAATGACAAATATAAATAGAAATAAATTAAACTATTCCAAAATAGTAAAAATATTAATAAAAATATACTATAAAACAATTCATGCTAAATCAATTAAACGACAATTGGATTAGCAACAACAAATGACTTCTTGAAGAAAGAACAATATTTTGGTGAACTTTTACATGAAAGTTCAATGTATTTTTCACTTTTTCCCATTCTTTCATTAGCTTTTTGAACATATTTAATAGCCTTTTGAGCTAATTTCTTTTCAGTTGGACCAATTTTAAGTCCAGCTTTCTTGGCTTTCTTTAATTGAACTTTCTTTTGTAGTTTCTTAACAATATGAGCAACTTTTCTTTGACTTTGTTTGTCAAATTTTTTAATTAATTTATTCATTTTCTTTATTGCTTTAGTATCTTTTCCAGCAATTAATTGTAATTGACTTTTAACTTGTTGAAGAACTTTCTTAATGTCAGTGTTAGGTTTAATTTCTTTCATAGATTTACGAATAACTTTATTCATTTTCTTTACTTTTGATACATACTCGATTTTCTTTGCCATTTTTTTGGCTTTTCTAGCAAGTTGTAATTTTATTTTTCGGTTAAACTTTGCTTTTAAACTCATTTTTTTTGAGATTTCTTTTTGTGCCTTTTCACCAACAGCTTTATCAATTTGATTCATTGCATCACTGTATTGTTTATATAATGGGTCTTTCTTAATGGCTTCTTCATTTATTACTACAGCTGAAGCTAATGAAATTAATAAAATACTAACAATAAATCCTTTCATAACACTACAACTTTTTAAGTTCTTGTAGTTCTTTTTTAGTTTTTTTATTCTTTTTTTATTTTTATATTCTTTATTTTGTTTTTTATAACAATTAAAATTATTCTATTTAATCAAAATAACTCTTCTTGGAATTGAATAACTCTGTGAGAGGAATGAAAGACTTTTTTCTAAATACCAAAATACTAGATTAAATATCCATGAAAAGAGTTTTTATAAATGACCATTACTAGTAAATTAAAATATTGTAAATATTCTCGTTATATTTATATTTATTTTTCATTCTTTATAATGAACAAGAAAAGAGTTAATTATCAAAGTATGATTATATACCTATCTATTCAAATTCATGTTTATCAGGCAAATGAAATGAGAAAGTATTAGTTTTGAGACTCATTTCTTTTATATCAATAAGTACTTGTAAGTGATTTATTTATGAATAGTCATTTTTTTTTCATATACGAATATGATATGAATTAATGGTATGGAAGAGAAGAAACAGTTAATAATATTATTTGTGACAATGTTTGTTAATTGTATAGTTCATTATCTAAACATTATGCACTAATTAAATATAATTGAAGTTGAAAGAAATTAATATAAAATAAAGAAACAAAGTCTAGAAAGACTATTTGTAATAATATAATAATATTGGTGAAACAAAATAATAAAAATATTACTTCTATTGAAATTATAATTAACCAACATCTTATAGTCAATGAGGAATAGTATGAAATGCTATTGCTTATATGGAAAATAATATTGTTGAGTTAAAATAAAATTTTATATGAATACCTCGAAAAACTCTCTTATATGATTAAAACATAGTGAAGAAATTGAATAACCATTTTGTAACACTCATAAAATATATTTATAGTCTTATTTAAGCTGAATGTTTTTATTTCAGAAAAAAAAAATAAGAAAGGAATGACATTGATAATAAATACACAATAATGATGATAATATTGACATTGAATATGAAAAATAAATATTAATACACAATGAAAGATATAGAACTGGATGATAGTCAGAAAATAAATAAAATAATAAAACAAAGAAATGAAATTCTAATTGAAGTGATGTATTGATTTGAATTAATTGGTTGAATAAGAAATTATAAAAGAAATTGAGATGGGAATAAATTGAAAGCATAATAAAAGTGACAAACATTAATGTAAATAGTGAAAATGAATATATTAAATATATTAAAATGTCACACAAAGTAAAAGAAAGTACTAAATGTTACATTAAAATGAAAGTAACTGATATAATAGAAGGAAGAGTAGAGAGTAATTCTATAATAAAAAATATCAAATTGAAATAATATATGCTTTATGTATAACTACAAAATCTTAGAATATAATAATGACAGAAGATCTACTTTGTTTGTCTTCCAATGAAAATCAGTAAAAAAAATTGGAGCAAAAGCACTAATTTATATAAAAATGACTCAAAATTATCATACGTGATTAAAAAAAGTTGTTAATTAAGTTAGTATAGTATGAAGGGAAAAGATTAAATAGAACTTATTAGAAGTTAGAAAATAAATAAAACTCTAGATATGATGAATAAATAAATGGAATAGCCACGTCATATTTAAAATTATTATCTTTTTTAAATATGTTTGTTTCCTGTTTTCATATTTTTACAGAGTTATTTTTATATGCCTAAGAATTTAATAATCGAATCAACTATTTTTGAAAAACATTTCATTTCCTACCAACAGAAAATGAACAACCTATCGACAAAATTATTGGGCAAAAATAGGTTAGCTTGTAATGGATGAAAGTTGCTAGTAAAGTACTTCAAATTTTATTAAGAATAGAAGGAATTAACCAAATAACATTTATAAGTTTATAAATACAAAAATAAATTAACTTATGATTTAAAAAGACTTTCAAACTACTTATTAATAAAATGGGAAATCATCAATCAATAAAAACAAACTCTCCAACAAAAGGATCTTTGAGTAAACCTTCAGACTGTTTAAATGGATATGAACCAATATGTGTTTCTTTAGAAAGACTAACTCCAAATAAATTAACAGTAGAACCAGTAGACACTCACACGCAAACCTCAAATCTTTCAAAAGAAAAGAAATTAAAACATCTTTCAGAATGGAAAGAATTTAGACATATGCGCCGTTTTAGTCAAACCTTTCAAGAAAACAAAAGACCGACTTCTGCTCCATTAGAACCTAATAATCAAGGTATTGAAGAATTTCATAAACAAAGTCCTTTTGAAGACCTTAACACTCAATTAGTTATAAAGTGTTTGAAAAAAACAACTCAAACAACTGACTTTGAAGTTATATATGATAGTTTATTACAAGAACTAGACTCCAGAAATATTAAGAGTGCTATTGAATATAAGACAAAAATACTCTTTATATTCGAGACTAAATCTGGAGTTGTTGGCTTTTATCAAGAAGATATGATTCCAATGCTTCAATTCAATAAAACAAATATCGTTTCTTCTAATAACATGTGGGTTTTCACGGTTAACAAAAATTCAAGTACTTCTGTATTTCAAAGAAATACTGAATCTAAATCTTCATTCTCATTATACTGCAATGATTCACATGTAGTATTGAACTGTTATTGTGCTTTTTGGATGAATGATATGGGACTTATTCAATTTAATCCGTTGATGAAGTCTTCATATACTCAAGGAAATTCAACAGTTACTCCATTACAATTTCAATTTAATTGTACTAAGATACAATGTGAGAGACTTTGTATACTTCAATGCAAAGATTAAAAATGTTAATAATTTTGTTATTTTTCAATTTTATCGTTTATTTTTAATTAAACTAAAACAAAAAATAAATTTGTTTTTAATTAAACAAACTCTGGAAATAAATAAATTAAGGTTGATACACTGTTGTTAAAAATATGTTACCTAAAAAGTCAGTTATCATCATCAGAATTAGTGTCTTTTACTTTTTTTGGTGTAACACAAATTGAGGTGATATAACGAGAGGACCGTGGAGAAAAATACCCTCCCTCATTATTTGAGCTAAACGTTTTTTCATCACTTACATGTAATGACCCAAAAGTCTAATGTATTAAATACTTTCTATTAAAACCTTTAAAAACAACAAACCAATGGAGAAACACTTGATTGAGGATTATCCCACCTATCATAAATATGATAATACTTGTGAATATCATCCAAAGAATATATCCTTGGGCATTTTAACTCCTCCCTTCTCAATACAATTTCACCACAAAGTAAAGAATATGACCATTTTAATGTCCGAGGCCGTACAAGAGTAATTGTCCCCTTCCAGATATGACCACTGGTCCATGTCAATTTTCTATATATTAGAAATACTCTAATTTAACATAACTCAAAGAAAAAAAAAACAAACTTACAAGTGTAGTCATCCAAATTTACATAAAGTTCTTGACCATATTGCGTAATGTAATGAATAGAAAAGGAAATAACGATCGCATTTTCTTGAGGATTTTGTATTGGAACCTTTTCTTTGGTGTACGGCATAACGAACGATAGACTAATTTCCAGATTAACCAGTTCATGCAAAGTCATAATCTGTTTTCATTTTTGTCGAGGATCTTCGGTCCTTTGTTTAGATATATTCTCCCAAAATTCTGAGTTTCAAATTCCACCTCGAAACTATTACCAAACTAATCTTTTATTATTAAATATAATACTTTTCGTCTTATATATCTTTTAATCCTTCTCATTTTTTTCTTTCATTTTACTTACAAACAACTTAACCTTAACCTAAATTTGACTTATAAACGACTCAACTTTACAAAATAGAAAAAACTATAGTTTTGTTAATTAAACACATTTTCAATAATTCTTTTTATTAAAATGTTATATATACCAAAAAAATTATTATTGAAAAAGTTCATTATTTGCATCTTTCATTGTTTTTCAGATTTTCAACTAAGAATTAAAAAGTATTAATCGGTAGATGTCATTAGTTTGTACTTCTTTATAAATATTATTCATTACTTTAAAATTTTGCTAGTTAACTTTTTAGTTATCTCCACAACCAATTTCAACACGTTTAACTGGATTAATGGCAAAAATTAAACCAACTGGAGACATGGTTTTAGTCCAACATTACACCACTCAAACTGTCAATGGAATTATTCTAGCTGAACAAAAGAATGATAAGTTTCAACAAGGAATGGTTGTAAGTATTAATACAGATAATAACCCAATGAAATTAAAAATTGGGAATCATGTCATATTTGGTGGGTCTCCAGCAACAACATTTATAGCTGATAAAAAGAGTTACTCTTTATTAAAACAACATGACATTTTTGCAAAAATCGAATAACATAAAATTCGTTTATTCCTCTTCTTTATTTAAACTTTTTTTATTAAAAACTTAATAATTTCTCTTATTGAATGGCTCCTAAAAGTAAAAAACTTAAACAATCACTTCCATCAAAAGAACCTGTTGTCGACGATGGTTTTTCTTTTATTAAACAACATAATTCAAATGTTATTATTGAAGTAGAAATTAAGCCAAATGCTAAAACAAGTGAGATTCAAGGAGTTGAAGATGGTTTATTAAAAGTATCTATCAACTCACCCCCAGTCGATGGAAAAGCCAACACTGAAGTTATTGCTTTTATGGCATCTACATTTGGAATAAAAAAGTCTAATGTAAAGCTTATTAAAGGACAAACCTCTCATCATAAAACTCTTCAATTTGAAAATTGGACAAGAGAAAAAGTACTTCAGATTATTCAAGCCAAATAATTTAACTAAATTTAATCACTTTTTTCTTTAGTTTCTTCACTTAGTTCATCGTTTTTATTTAATGAACTTTCTTCTTTATTTTCTTCTTTTTGTTGTTCTTCTTTTGCTTTTTTTAATGCTTCACAAAGTTCTGGGTTAGTATCAAGTTGGTAAAATACCCTATAAAAATAAGATTTGTCCAGAATAACAAAATAATTTCTTTAAACAAACCAACATATAGCACCATATGCCCCACATGTCAAAAACATTAACACAACAAAATGAATTGATGCAGATGGTATTGTAAAGAAGAAACATATTTCAAAAAATAGTGCAGCAGCAAATGACGCATGAACCGTTAACCTAGAGGATGAACTAACTCTTTGATTGATTATGTCTTCAAAAAGGTTTTGGATAAAATTCATTAAATTGTTTTAGATAAAGTTCTTTTTTTAAATAATAATTTAATTTGTAAAAATGGAAACGAAGTAATTTATTTTATTTAAGTTCTGGTGGTGCGTCTGGTCTATGTATTGATGCGTCTTCTGCTACAATTAATAATCCTACAGCACCACTTGATGCAGTAGGTCCGGCAATATACCCAGAAATAGGTGAGGCTCCAGAAAGGAAAAGTCCATGTTTTTGAGTGGAATATTGTTGCCATTCTGGATGTTCATTCAGTACAACGTCTAGATTTTCTGCGTGAGAAGAGTCTTGTAAAGCATTCTGTAAAGCGTCAACTATCAATGCTTTGATTTCTGGTGCAGATGATCCAAGAGTGTCATCTAATGAACCTTTCAATACGGTAAAGATCGCACTTTGGACATCTTCGTTGCAAAGTTTTGGGACATAACATAATACTCCTTTACATCCAACTCCAGACGTCATTGATCTAAAAACATTAGCTACAATTTGTGCGTGTTCAGGTATTTTAGTTAAACAAAGGACAATTAATGGAACTGCATTATTATCTATTAACCGTTCTTTACATAATGAATTTGTAACAATAACTTGTAGAATTATAAACAACGTTTCATCTGGTTGTGTTTGTAGTAATTCAATAATTTTAGATAAATGACCTGATGTAGCTATATAATCTAAACATTGTGGCTGATTAGTATAAAACACTGCAATTGTTTTAGCAAGTGCATTCATTAAAGTAACATCTCGTTGTCTGGCAGCTTCTTGATACTTATTAAATAATCCATCACTAAATCCATTTGGATTATTAAGTGGACATGTAGGATTTTGGTTGAAGATTCTAATAAATACACCTCCAATACATAATTCATTTTCAAGTTCTGTATATTTAAATGCAAAAGTATCTGGAACTTGCCATTTAACCATTGGGTTAGAAAGTTGTTTTGCATGGAATGACTCAGCCATTTTGTTAATGAAATCTCCAACACCATTTTTCATTTCTGAATTCCAAATTAATTCTGGTGTTTCTGTAGTTGAATCTAGTAAAATAACTGCTCCTCTTGCATCCATTTTCATCGTATTAATAATTGCACTTGGGAAGAATTTAGCAAGTGAAAGTGTGACTTTAGGTCCAATACCTGGCGTAGTAGACATTTTACCAATTAGTTGAGATACAAGAACTCTTCTTTCAAGTTCACTGTCATTAACAAAATGATTTAAAAGATAAAGTAGTCCTCCTTTAACTATTCCTTGTTGTAATCCTGTTGTTACTGAGAATAATGACTGTGCTAATGGCACAATATCTTCAAGATACTGAGACGGATATAATAACACAAGGAATTTAGATAATACTTTAGATTTAGCAACAACTTCAACACAAGCCGTTGTACTTAATAGTCTCTTGACACATCTCAGTGTTGATGACTGAACAAGAAGGTCATCTGGTTCTTCTTTTAATAAGCTAAACAAAGAATCAAGTAATTCAGGGTCTTCACAAAATTCAGTAGCAATTTGGTATTGTTCTAGTACATTTGCAACAGCAATAACTTTTTCTTGAAGCCATTTACCATTAAGATCAATTCTTGACATACATGCTCTTAGGAAAATAATAGGATCTGGTAGTGGTTCACATGTTCTTATTTGTTCATTAAAGAGTCTAATATAAACCCCACCAAGAACTAATTCATTTTGTAATGATGGGAATCTAAATAGTTCATATTCTTTTGGTGTCCATTCCATTGTTCCATTTAAGTGTGCATCAATATAATCAATTAATTCATGTCTTGTTTTGTTTGTCCATAATAAGTATGGTGTTTGTGTTGTAGATGTAATTAAACTGAGTGTTTCCCCAACACTACCATGTCTAATTCGTAGTCCAAGTTGTGGTGTAAATAATGCAAACACTGCTTTTGTTTCTTCTGTATTTTCTTGGATTTTAACTAACTCTTTCATTGCTAATAATGACATTCCAGCAATAGCATTTTTCATTTGATGAATACTTTCTTGTTCTGCTTCTTCAAGTGTTGGGTCATATGATAATATTCTGTGAATTAAATATCCAAGATAATTTCTATTATACATATCATTTCTTATTTCTTCATCCTTTGAGAAACATGTTATACATTCTAGTGATGCTTCTACAACTCCAAGTAAGTCACTTCCAAGACACATCTTAATATTAGACAATATTGTATTACTTTTTTTAATTTCTGCTAATGACTCTGTAAATTTAGATGCAACTGCCATAGCCCTAAGAATATATCTAATAGCAAGTACTTTTCCTTCTGTGATTTGTCCACATAATCCATCTAACATAGACAATAATGTTTGTAATCCTTTTAGTCTTGCTAATTCTTGAACATTTAATGTAGAGGATCTAATGGTTAAATAAACTAATTGTAATGCTCTGCCTCTTAATTGGGTGTCTTGAAGAGCTGGGATAAGTAAAGAATATCCCGCATATTTATATGGTGATAATATTTCTCCACATCTTTCATAAAGAATACATTGTGAATGAATAATAATTTCCGATTTTTCATTTGAATTGTCTGGTCCCATTTCAATAAGTTGATTATATGCATCATTTACTTTCTCAAACATTTCTCTTCCTTCTGGATTTCTATCTGGATGATATTTTTGTGCTAATTTATAATATGCCTTTCTTAATTTTTGTTTATCATCTGCTGTTTCTACTCCAAGAATTTGACATGCCTCACTTGTTGACATCTTCTTTGGTGCTTCTGCTACATCAACCCATGCATGTAATATTGCTTGTAATAATCCAACTGGATCATTAATAACATAATCGGGATATTTTTCTTCATCACATAATTGTTTAAGATATACTCTCCCACAATATAACTCTCCCTTTAATTCTTCATATACAATAGGTGGAATTGGTACATGTGAATATACTGCTAATGGATTACATGTTAATCTAAATGCAAAATCTCCAATATGTTGTGAAATACTATCTATTAAATAACTTCTCATTGAACTACTCCATCTAATTTCTGGGGTAGCAACTTCTCCAACAAGTCGTGCTGAAAATTCTTCAGGAGACCTATCAAGTACTGTTATTAATGATGGTGGAATAAGTGGTTTTAATACTGATAATTCAACAGCTTCTCCTATTTTTTGTTGTCTATGAGTAGCATATAATAACCTTGATATTTCTTTTAAATTACTTCCTGAGTACATTAATGCAAAATAAAATACTCCTGTTAAATAAAATTTTGGTTGTGCTGTTGGATTATCTTCTAATAAATTTTTAAGTAATCTTGCTGCAGTATCAACTATTGTTGGTGCTGCTGTTAATAATAACTGAACTATATGTGGAAGATGTCTTGGTGATGATAATATTCTTTTAGCTCTTGGAATTGGTCTTAATAAAATACCATGCATATCACGTGATGGATACATTGTAACTAAATCTTCTAATGTTTTAGAAATAGATTGACATAATTCAATTGGTGTTAATATTCCTGTATCTTCTGTTAATAATGCCCATTTTAACACTGTAATATCTTTTAATATTTTCCAATCTTCCATTCCTTGTGCCCAAACCATTGTTGTTTCTTGAATAATATTTTGATTAAGTAATTCTTTTAATTTATCAAGAGATACTGGTCCTTTTTTCTCTTTCTTATTATTATTAATTTCTACATAATACCATTCTCCTATTGTTGTTCCTGCTGTTAATAAATTTGTTTGTAATGGAATAATAGCATGGTCTGCATGAAGATGAACAAGGATTAATAAATCAACATATAAATCAATTCCTCCAACATCAATAAATGTTCTTGCATTAATTTCTACTTTAAGTAATGAATCAAGCAATTCAATTAATCGGTCTCTTAATAGTAATGACCTTGTCATTCTTAACATTGAAACAATATGTGAAATATCTTTAAATGCTCCAATTTCTTTATTAAATTTTCTATATATTACACTCATAGATTGAATTGCTAATGCTTGTAATTCTCTATTTGTTTCAAATAAACATCTATGATATAATGTATCAAAGAAATCTCTTGGGTCACTTAATGTAATTTCTCCTTTTTCTAATAAACATTTTATAAAACATCCATCAACACATACTTCATTATCTAATGAATGATATTCTACAATAAATTCTCGATAATTCCACGCAACTTCTCCTTCTTCTTGATCTTTCTTTAATTGTCTAATTTCATTGTCTATTGCTTCTTTTAATTCTTCTCTTGTTTGGTGGTTCCAAATTAAATCTGCACGTCGATGTTGTTGGTGGAGTTGGAAAACTAACATTCCCCAGTTTCTTTTTTGTTTAATGACTCTTTTTTGTCTTGTTCTAATTTCATTTTCATTTGTGCTTCTTCTAACATTCCATTTCTTCCAAAATGATGCCACAGTACTCATCTGATGTCTTGGGTGTTGTCTTTCATCATCAGTAATATCTAATTTTTCTGGTGGTTGGTCAGGAGAATCAAGATAAGATAATAATGCACTAGGAATTGTTCTTTTTAATACACTTTCACTCTCTTTATGATCAGCCGTGAAAACATCAAGTAAATGTAAGGCTAAATGTTTTTGAAGTAATTGTGTTGTAGTTTTGGGTGTTGAAAAACATGCTATTTGAAGGTATTTTAAGGTTGTTCCTTCTAATAACGCATAGTCTTGTAATTCTTTAATTCGTTCATCCATATCTGTTTCTTCAACTAGCGCTCTCAGTATTTGTCCAGCAATGTGTGGAATAGAAATACATGGTGATTGAAAAAGCATAAATACATCTCTTCCTAATCCACTAATTATATTCATCATTCTATTGAACATATTAAATTCTGTGGTATAAGAATATGGTTCACAAACAATATACTTAAAAGCTGTAACACAACCATGGATGACAAGGGGAGATCCTTTTTTAATATTACCAACTAATGTAGCAAAGATTCTCTCAGGAATTCCATGTGTCATAACTTCTAATTTACCTTTTTTTTCAATATTTTCGTCAGCACTAGAGCATAATAAGATTGATGTAATTCTTAATGCCCAAAATAATACAATTGGTTTAACACTTTGAAGTGCCATTCCAATTACTTCTGTTACTTTTTCTGTTATACGCTTATTCTCTACAAATGACTCATATCCAATTCTAGTTGATAATAATCTATGTAGACATTGTAAAAATCCTTCTCCAGGTTTTCCTATTGTTAATAATTTTTCTAATGCTTGTATAATTAATTTTGAACGACTAGCTTCAGCAAATTGTGGTCCAGAAGGTGGCATATTATTATTTAATAAGAAAACATGAATCATAAACAATTCCACTGGTTCAATTCCAGTAATTTTTGTTGGATCAAAGTTAGCAATATTCTTTAACAAAGTAAGTTCACTTTGTCCACATTCACTTGCTGTCATTTTTTCAATAATTAATGAACCAAATCTTGGGATATCAGAAATAATAGGATCAGCTTTAGCTGCTAATGAACAATCGAATAGTGTAGCAATAAATGCTTCTCTTTGACTAGTATAATATACTCTTTGATTTCCATCTGCAAAAGTAACAACCACCTCCATAGCATCACGACCTCTTAAGATATGAATAACATCATTTAATGCTCTTGCATACTTAACAGTATAAGAAGATGCATCTCTTTCAACAAACCATTTTTCAGTAAAACAAATAATTCTTTCTGTCTTTCCAGGTCCATGTGAAGCTTTTAGTTCTACTAAAGAACCACCGTCTTCTTGTTCAACTTTTCTTATATTTGATGACTTAAATAAATTCTCAATTGATAACTCATTTCCAACAGACATTTTAATTCCAATTTGTTTACATCTCGTTAGAATTTCTGCAGCAAATTTCCTTCTATCAGAAAAAGAATAAATTATAAATTGATTCCCATCAAAAACTAATGCAATAGACTGACTATCATCTAATGGTATAATTCTAATAATATCTGTTAGTAAAATGATTTTTTCTTTCTTTCCAGGCTTGTTTGACATTTCAATAATTCCATAAGGTTGAATTTGAATACATATATCAATTGACTGTTTATTAACTTTAATTTTTTTGGCACTAAATGTTGTAAATTCTTGGTGTTTTGTTTTGTATTTATACTGCAATAATAAACATAATAAATAACTTCTATTATTTGAAAGCATCTTATGTTTTGTAGATCCTACTACAAGAATAAATTCTTCACTGTTTTGAATTGATGGCTGAATTCCAACAATACTTTGCCAATCCCAAACATCTACTGTTTCATAACTTGTATTAGATATTAGTGCAACAAAATTTTTTGAAATACATATTTGAAGGTCTTCGTTTGAAATCCAACCAACTCGTTTTACAAGCATTCTTTTCTCAGTCATTTGAGAGAAGAATTTAACACTCTGACTACCAGTAGGTATTTTAGATATTTCTATTGACATTAAACTTTTTTAGTTCCAGAATAATTGAGAAACAAATAAAAAAATGTTTGAATTAATCAACTACTCACTTTTTATATCCTTCTCTTTTTATTCAAGATTTTAATCTTTAAATTAATTATTTCTTTTAATGCAATTTGGTGCTATTGGGCTATCTATTAAAATGAATATATTTACTATGTGTTGTTGTTTTGTGTTTGGTATTAATTATTTATTACTATATGCTGCCTTTACACACAGTGATATTGGTAAGTCAATATCAATTATTTCATTTGTTGATGGAATAGGGGGTATAATTACATTAATAATACTTTTAATTCTTTCTTACTTGCCTTGTGCAAAAATTAATTATAAAATTTTTGGTATTTTTACATTAGCCACAAATTTTATATTAACTAGTATATGTACTATCTCATCTTCCATTAATATGTTGAGTCCAATTATTAACAAAACATATCTTTATCTTATTGTAGAAATATTCAATTCAAGTCTTCCACCATCAAATTTTTTTGTCTTTTTTAATTTGAGTTATTCATTATCATCCCAACACACAACCTTTTATATCACTGGATGCTCATTTGGAACATTTTTAGCTTGTATATTAGGGTATGCAGAAATATCTGAGTTTGTTGCTTTTTCTATTGTAACTTTATTTTCATTAGTTGGACTGATACTTGTTATTATATTATTTATATTTACACCTCAAATATATGATTTTCTTAAATGTCAAGAAAGAATATTATATCAAGAAGAGTATATTAGTCTTGATGATCCATTACCAAAATATAATGTTGTAAGAATATTTAAAACTACTATAAAAGAGATGAAACACTCATTAATAACAATATTTTGTTGTTACTATATTGCCATTTATCTTGTTCCTCGTTTTATAAATCCAGTTCAACGTTACTTTAATTGTTATAATGATAATATGGATTATGATGAGAATAATTATTATTATCAACTCATTCAATTAGTAGGTTTATTGTATTATGCTGGTGATGTTATTGGAAGATTTGTTGAAATATTTGCAAAACCACATATTAAAGTAGTATTAGTATCAAGTGTTATTAATGTTTTGATAACAACAATAACTATCTTACCGGTTTATTTTTGTACAGCAGGGAATATTTCACATGCAACTGTAGCTGAAAAAGTTATGTTAGGCTATGCACCTTTATTGGGATTGGTTAATGGATTTATTGTTTCATGTGCTATCGAATATTCAATTTCTCAAGTTGAACCACGTTTGGCTGTGGCTGTAGTTTTACTTTTTTTATATCTTGGAATATTTGCAGGAGATATAAGTCAATTATTAACATCAGGATTAGATTTATATCTTTCATCATCTCAAAAAGATTGTTCTCCAACTTTTGTCTAATTAACGAAATTATTAATTACTTTGAATATTTTATTTCTTAAAATTCTTGATAAAATAATTTCAATATTTATTTTTAATTTTCTTGGATTTTTTTTTAATCATCTTTGAACTTTTTTTTCAGTTCTTTAAAACATAATATGGAAGAGAAAACACAAGGATGGCTTATGAAAGAAGGTGGAAGTTGGAAATCTTGGAAAAAAAGATATTTTGTATTAGACAATGATACATTATATTATTATAAAGAACAAGATAAAAAGACATTAATGGGTACAATGAATTTATCTCTTGCTACACATATCACAGCAGTTGATAATTATCATAAGAAATATGAAAATATAATTCGTATTTGTACACCATCAAGAACATTTCATTTAAGTGCAGCAAATGAAGAAGAACGACTAGCATGGTTAACGTCTATTATTTGTCATTCAGAGAAAACAAATATATGTAAACCAAGAATAAGTAGTGTACCAGTAACACAAAAAGATTTTGATGTTAAGTGTTTATTAGGTAAAGGAGCTTATGGAAAAGTATTTTTAGTTGAAATGATTTCTACTCATGAAATATTTGCAATGAAAACTATTGAAAAAAAACAAATTATTGAATATGAAGAAATTGAACATACTATGTCTGAAAGACGTATCCTCTCTAAATTACATCATCCTTTCTTAGTAAATTTATATTATTCATTCCAAACACCAACTCATTTATTTTATATTATTGATTATTGTCCTGGAGGTGAATTTTATTATTATTTACAAAAGAATGGAAAAGTAAGTGAAGAAGATGCTAAATTTTATGCAGCTCAAATTTTACTTGCAATAGAACATCTTCATTCATCAAATATTGTTTATCGTGATATTAAACCAGAAAATATTTTAATTGGTGCTGATGGTTATCTTCGTTTAACTGATTTTGGACTTTCTAAAGAAAATGTTACAAAAGAAAATACTACAAGTACTTTTTGTGGTACACCAGAATATCTCGCCCCAGAAGTTGTTGTTGGTAAAGATTATTCAGAACCTGTAGATTGGTGGGGATTTGGTATTTTAATTTATGAAATGATTCATGGACATGCTCCATTTACTTCAGAAGATATTCAACAATTATTCCAAAAGATTATTCATGACCCTGTCTCTTTTCCAAGTGCTTCTTATCCATCAGCAGATTGTAAAGAATGTATTGTTATGTTATTAGAAAAAGATCCAGAAAAACGTTTAACAGACCCAAATCGTATTAAATCACATTGTTGGTTTAAAGGATTTGATTGGGAAGGATTATTCCAAAAGAAATTATCTCCTCCTTTTGTTCCTGTTTTAAAAGATAAAACTGATACTTCTAATTTTAATGAAGATATTATTAATGAAACAGCTAAAATTGATGAAGGAGAAGTTGTTGATTCTAAAGATTATTTCAATGATTTTACTTATTGCAAATAAGTACTATTACTAACTTTACTTCTTTTCAATCATTATTTCAATTAATTTTATTTTTTATTATTTTTTGTTAAAATTATTTAAAATTCTTTTTTTTTCTTTCTTAAAAATTGTTTAATTTGAATTTTATCTCTTTATTTTTGTTATTCTTAAATTGTTATTCTCTTATTAAAAACAAATTATAAAAACAATTTTTATTTTAAGATAATGTTATAAAAAGAATTAAATAAGAAAAAAATTCACGATCAATTTATTGGGAGACTTCTTGTTTCTTAATTCTAGCTTCAGCATTAAGAACTCTAATATTAAGAATCTTAGCTCTTTGGATAATTTCTTGTCTCTTTTTAGCAGAAACAGCATGTGAAATTTCAGCAGCATACTTTCTGTTTTGCATCATAATCATTTCAAGATCAGTTGTATTACGAACTGGGAATTTATAAAGTCCACATGGAAGCATATTTCTAGTTGCTTTAGCACTTCCATATCCAATCTTTGGAAGAAGATTAGTTCCCTTGAATTTTCTTCTTAATCTATTATCAATACCTCTTGGAACTCTCCAGGATGCTTTAACACGGAGGAATCTGTTAGAATCAAATCTCTTAAAGTGTCCTGTATATTTCTTGACAATCTTTGGTTTTGTGACTGGTCCAACCATCTGCAACACAGATTGACTTCTTTCAACCCTAGTTCTTAATTTTCCTAAAAGTTTTAGTTTTTTTCTATTTTCTTTTTAAAAAAATATTTTTTTTTATTTTTTTCTGTTTTTTCTTTTTTTTCATATTTGTTATATATAACATCTATTAAATAAAAAATCAATAATTGATTGAGTTAGAAAACAAAAAAAAAGAAACTTGAAAAATGGAAGATTAAATATGCAGAATGTTAGTGTTGCTCAACTTATGCCATGTGAATATGAATCATGGGGAACAAAAGAAGGTGGTGGATATAAAAATTGGAAAAAAAGATACTTTGTTTTAAAAGATAAAAAATTATGGTATTTTGATAATAAAGATTCAGTAAGTGCAAAAGGATGTATTGAGTTAAATGTTGATGCACATGTAGAAGATGCGTCTGATGAGTTTAAAGGAAAGTGTGTATTAGCAATTAATTCAAAAGATAAAAAAGGAGATAGGAGATATCTCATTGAGGTTGATAACCCATCAACACTTATTGATTTTATTAAACATATCGAAAACTCAATTCATCCTGAAAGTACTAAAAAGTCTTATCTTGATTCATTAAAAACAAAGGGTATACCTGAAAGTATTATGTCGCCTAAAATTCAAACACCAATGGCATCTTCTCCATCATCAAATAATAATGACGACCTTCTTATTAAACCAAAGAAAGTACCATTAGGAATGAATCCTCTGCAAATGGCAATGGCTGGAGAAATGAAAAAAACTATTGGAGCACCAGATGCTTCTGTTCCTATTAGTTATTTATCTAATAGTCCTAATTCATCAAGTAATCAACTGCCACCAGTACCACCAGTAAATCCAGGAAGAAAAGCTCTTTCACAAAAAACAAATCCATTAGTAGAAGAGAACAGAGAAAAACAACAAGCATTATTGAGAGAAGGAGATTCTGATGTTATTTATGTAAATAGACAATTACCAAGTTATCTTGGAAGAAATAATATAAATCCAACGAGAGAATATTTTACATTTTTAACAGGTGATAAATCAAAAGTATTAGATTATTGGATCTCATCTGTCCCTTCACAAATTAAACTTGAAAAGAATAAAACAATAAACTATGTAATGTCTGTTGCAAGTGACTGTGATTATGTGACTTATAAAGTGAGTGGTCCACAAGAAAATATGGGACTAGGAATTGCTGATTTCTTTAGTCTTGTAGAATCTGCTTCTGATGGAATTGACAAAATGAATTTGTATGGAAGTAAAATATGTCCAGAACGTATTGGGTCTTATATTCAACTTTGCTCTTCTGAAAATGCAATTGAAGGGGGGTATATTTTCTGTGGAGATTTATTATCTTCTGAAGCATTTAACATGATTGATTCTGGAAATGCATTAATTGTATTAAACCAATTTGAAAAAGAATGTAGTAATATTAAAATTATTACTTCAGTTGAAAAAGATATGAGTTCAGTTGAACCTCAATTTACTCGTTTTACATTTGATATTTATGGTAAGAATACTGCCTCTAAAATTGAAGTTATTAAATCTGTATTAACAAAGTTTGGTTGTGGTGATAAAGGTGATCAGTTAATGGCAGTTTTCCAGTCTTTTGATAGTGATTGTTCATTGTCTGTATCTTTACTTTTAACGCCAAATGATTTAGCACAGTTTGTTTTTCATATAACTTTTATTATAAGTAATGAATTTACCAAATAGAATATCTATAATTATTAACAATCCAAAAGCTGTCCAAGTAAGTGTCTTCTTAGGATTAGATGAAAATAAAAATCTTCAAATTCATAATGAATTAGTTTCTTTATATGGACCACCAAAAGCAGTTGAATGTGTGTTAATAATGGATGGTTTCAAAATGGGAATTTATAAACAAAAACTATTGGTGAATGTGATTTATGATATTGGTTGTGAAAGTTCAGAATAAAGAAATTTCATTTTTCAAATCACAAATTTTTGTTTTTTATTTTTTAACTAAAAAGAGAAGTCTATTTATAGAACCAGTACTATAGTTTTATATTAATATTATTTATTATATTAACAAAAAAAAAGGGTTTCCAGAAAAGAGAAAAAAAAAGAAAAAGAAGTGAACAAAAATTCAAGTTGTCTTCGTTATTCTTGTAAAAATAATAATAAATGAATAATACATGATGAAAATGTCACGATAAATAAGTACATCTATATACTGAAAAAGTAAGAATGAATAAATTTATGAAGATAATATAATTTCAGAATATAATTAAAACATGATATAGACAAGAAAAAGAATGAAGATTCTTTTTAATGATTTTCTGTAAAAAGAGAAAAATAGGAAAACCTAATTGGGGATATTTAAGATGACAATAAGATCTTAAGTGATCAAAACTGTATTTTAAATACAATGGACGCTACCAAAGAAAAAGAAGTTACTCCCGTCGTTGAAAAGAAAGCTACTGAAAAAAAATCAGTAGAAAAGAAACCAAAGAAAGTTACTGAAAAGAAAGTAAAATCACGTGATGATGAAGGAAGAAAAAATACTCTTTCTAAGAAATCAGGTTTACAATTCCCAGTTGCTCGTATTCATGCTGCTCTTAAAAAAGGAAGATATGGAGAACATATTAATAAAATGGCATCAGTTTATTTAACAGCTGTTATTGAATATCTTGTTGCAGAAGTTTTAGAACTTGCAGGTGGACAAGCAAAAGATTTCCATAAAACAAGAATTACTCCAAGACATATTCAACTTGCAGTTCGATCAGATCTTGAATTAAATGATCTTCTTAAAGATGTTACTATTTCATATGGTGGAGTATTCCCTAATGTTCCTACTGCTGTTAATTCAAAAGGAAAGAAGAAACCAGCTCAATCTCAAGTAGTTTAAGGAGGAATATTTTTAAACTTGGTTGTTGTTTTTCTTCATAGAATTTAGTTTCTTTATTTTAAAGTTATAATTAAATATCATTTTAACTATTTTAATAAGTCAATTGAATTAAAAGAATTTGAAATAAATCAATTTGTTTATTTTTATTATCAATTTGTATTATTTATAATGAACGAAATCATGAATCATATCGTTTAATGTTTGTGATTTAGCTTCTAAACATTCATAAATTAATTGTCTAAATGCTTCTTTTGCTTCATCATCTTTTTTATCAAACATAAAAGTATCTCTCATATATTCAATATCTTTTTCATGTTGTAATTCTGGTATGCCGTAGCAAGCATTAATCTAAATAAGTAAATAAATAAAGACCCTTGTTTTCTAATACATGCAAATGCTCTAAGACAAAGATCTTCAAATATTCCAAATTGAGTTGATCCTTTACCACCCATAACATGTGCAAAATGTTGAGTAAATTTAAATGGTGTTCTTTCTCTTTTAACTCCAAATTTTGATTTAAAATGTCCAAGAAAATGTCCAAAATCAATATGAAAGAATCTACCATCTCTACGAATCATTACATTATCACTATGTCTATCTCCAACTCCTAAAATATATGTTGCTACACAATATCCTGCACATGAATAAGTAAAATTCTCTACAGCTTGTTCAAATGTAACTTTACTCTCTTTCCTTGAACATTGTTTCTTTAACCATTTAGTTAATAAATCTTCTTTACAAACTCTTAATGTACCTTGACCACCTTCATCTGCAATAATTTTTCCATATGTTTCAGAGTCTTGAACTAATTCTAACATTCCTATTTCATTTCCTGTAGCAGTACAATGGTATGGTAACATTCTTAAATCTAATCCTGCTGATTTCCAAATATTATTCATTAATTGAAGCATTTGTAAAGTCAAAACATCTTGTCTAAGATCATCACCAACTTTTTGTATAACCATAATATTATCTCCTAATGGATCTACATTTTCTAATACCAACATAAGTGGTTTCTTTTTACTACTAAATACATTTCCAGTATTTGGAATTGGTTTTTTTATTCTAAATCGTGAATCTAATGGTAATGACATTTCTTCAGGATATTTTAATTTTGCCAATGAATCTTTAAGTAATTGTTTTTGTTCTTCTTTTGTTTCTAATTGTTTTACTTTATTAGCAATAACAACTAACTGATTTTGAAATGTTACTTCATTATATAGTTCAGTTCTATAATCTTCACATCCATTTAAAAATGCCTCTAATAATACTCCATATCGTTCAGTTACTCTATTATCATGCATTTCAGCTTTTAAAAACCAAAAGAATTGATGTCCAATAATATTTTTATTTCTTAATGCTCTTCTAAGTAAAAAATATGCTAAATTACTTTGATGGTGTAATTCAAATTTTAATGCTTGAACAAGTTGTGGAAGAAAATTAACTAATTCATAATCTTTCATTGCATCTAAACATTTTAAAGCAAATAACCTTACTTGTTCATCTGGAAATCTAAAGTCTAATAATTCTAATGCATGTGTTGGTTCAAGTAATGGCCATTTATTTAATAATCTATGTAATTCTAATACTTCACTTTGTTGAGTAAAATCAACAGCAGAAACTAACCTCGCTAATGACCCAGGTTTTGTTTTTTCAACTAAATACCTATACTTCCATAATAATCTACAATTTTCTTGACTAAGTACTGTTAATGGATCAGCTTCAACAGCTTCTTTAAATCTTTTAGTATCACTTACTTCTAGTTTTTGTGATGTATTTATTGGAACATTCATTTCTTCTTCAGTTCCAATAAAAGTATCCATTTTAATTGGTTTATCAAATTCAATAACACAATAATGTAATTTACATGTTTCAGGTGATGTGTTTTCACAACACATCATAATAGGATTTGGTTCAGTTCTTTCCCACATTCCAACTTTAAATAATCCTTTCATAAAATATTTATGGTGATCAACTAATTTACAATTAATAGTTGCTAAACAAATGTCTTTTTTATTAATTTCATTAATACTAATACCAACAGGTAACTCAGTCATATATAATGAAATTGTCATTTTTGTTTCTTTAGGAAGAGAAGATAACAGCGTTTCAAAACTAACATTAAATGGTTCTTTTAATATTAATTTTCCATCATTGACTTGAAAAACATTAGTATATTTTTCTTTTTCTAAACAACGAATACCGTAATGTAAAGATAATACAAAATATGCTCTAAATGAAGTAATTGAAATAGTTTCTTTTTTATCTTCTTTTTTAATAGTTTTTAAATATTTAATATTTTCAATTGAAATAATTTGAATAGAAAATTGAATTTGAGCAACACGTTGAGATAAGTCATTTGTATTTTTTTGTAATTTATTCCAATAATCATTTCCCACAAAAGTATTAAATTGTTTTACAAATAATATTTTTTCTTTATCAAACATATACTGATACATATTTTTTCTATTGAACAATACGACATCAATATTTTGATTTAGTCTAACACATTTTCTAATATAATCAAAATCACTAAGAATATATTCTATTTTATCATTATTACTATATAGTAAATTATTTATTTATTTATTATTTATTTTATAAAACAAACTATGGTATTAAAAACTCATTTGAACCTCTAACTTTTAATACAAAATCTGATGGTTTCGAATTTTTATCGAATATTTTTGGTTTCATAGTATATAACTTAGTAAATAAATTATTAATAACTTTTGCAATTGTATCTGTAGGTTTTTGAACAATAGTTTTCATTGACATGTCAACTCCATATCTTCCATTAATTTTTAATTCTATACAACTTGTTGGAATCGGTGGTTCAGATTCAACATAAACATATTCATTTTCTTCATAAATCTTTTTTGCGTCTTGTTGTGATTGAATGTCATTACCAAATTTATCAATAACATCACTTTCAAATAGAACTATTTTTTCTTGAAGAATACGTGCTAAAGTTGCTCTAAAATCACGACATTCATCTGTGTTTGCTTTTAATACTAAAAGAAATTCATTTCCAATACAATCAAATGTTATTTTATTTGATTCAAGAAAATTAAGAAAAATATTAATTGGTTTATAATTAGTACATTGTTCAACCTTAACTAATGTGAATGTTGGCCAATACCCATATGAACTACAATATATACAAAATTTAGATTCAAAGCTGAACGGTTAGATATTTATTCATAATGTATATCTCCTTATACATTCAATAGAAATTAAACAAACAAAGGTTCTGAACATCTGTCAAAATAATATGGTTGATGGTTTAAACAAAAATAATATTTTTCTGTTGTTTTCTTTGGGTCATAATAAAAATTTATTATTTGTTGTGGTGTGTTTATTGGTGTAAATGTTTTTCCTTCATTTTCTACAATTACTCGAATAGCAGGAATGTTTTTCATTAGTAAAGACGTAGTCCCAGTAACTCTTGGAACTGAAAATGTTGTTCTTGTCAAACGACTACGCATATTGAATTAATGGAGTTTTATTATTCAAAAACTACCTTTTAATAAAAAAAAAAAAAAAAAAAGAATCATTGAAAATTATTCTTATTAAAAATATGGAAAATTCATTAGATTTTTTAATTCTATTCTTCTTATTTAAAAATTTATGAAAATTGAATTTTGAAAAATTCGTTACGATTTTCTTGTTATTTGTATTACAACAAAATCTCTTAGTAAAGACTTTTATTGTACTTTCAGAATATTTTAAGGATAAAAGTTTATATGTTTTACTAATCAATTATTATTGAAGATATTTTTATTGGTTGATCTTTTTTTAGGTTTAGTAATGTTTTTATTTTAAAAAAATATTTTTCTTGTATTGGTGTGTTATTAATAACATTATAATAATAAAAAACATTTTTTTTTGAATTAAAAAATGGAACTTTAAAAAACCAATTTGTGTTATTTTAATGGATTTATTTGAATCTTCAAAGATTCCTTTAGTTATATTATGGATTATTCTTATTGTAATTGAAATTGGAATATTTGCAGTTTCTATGACTTCTTACTTCATACTAAAAGATCAAGTTCAAAAATTATCAGAGTATGAAACTGTATTTATTAGATATCCATCTATTTATGTCTTACCAACAATTCAAGAGTCAATTCCTTATCAAACAAATTCTTTCCCATATTGCCCCTCTTCTTTCGAAGCACCACTAGCTTTTATGTCAATGAGTTTATTACATTTTATGCATTTAAAAGGAAAGTATTATTATAAAGATAATGATAAAACATTCCTTAATGGAAACGATTATTCATTTGATTGCCACTCATTTATGAAACAAGTAGAAAAATATTGTACTTCTCCTGAAAGAAATAATACAAATCAATGCAAAGAATATCTTCGAGAACCTACAAGTAGTATTGGTCCATTAATACAATACATGCTTTGTGAAAGTTCTTCGGAATGTCCCCCTGATGTTATTGAATCTCATAAACTATTTCTTAAATTCCTTCACCAAAATAAAACACTAACTGGAGTCGAAGTATCTGGCAGAATGGGAATAAATGCCACTCTACTTGTAAGTGAAGCAAAGAGATTTATGACCATTTATCATCAACCAGTATTATTGACGTTTGATGACTTTGTTGATCGTACTATCATTTCTTCTTCTCTAAGAAAAGATAATGATCATTCTATTCAATGTGCTTACAATGTTACCCAAAAGTGTTATTACCAAGATACTCCAATTAGAACGTTTGATGGATATTATCATGATTCTAATATCCTTTATTCAACTGGTAAGTTAAAGAGTGTTGTTGTTGTTGGATGGGATGACAATTATCCTATCCCAAGAACAAATGATAAAGGTGCATTATTTGTCCGAGATGAAGGTGCTACGACAGGACATAGTTTAGAATATTATGTTGATGATATTCAATCATCAGGTAATGTACTTAATGCAAACGATGACTTTGAGAGATGTGGTAACATTCATTCATTCCTTCATTGGAATGATACTAGTCCATTACATTTAAATAAAACAAATTATTTGAAGTATATGTATGAATATCCTGAAGGTATTAATGAAAATACATATAATACTTTTACTTATTATATTACTAATAGGACTAGCAGAAACCGTGAAGGATTAATGTCTATTAATATGAAAGCAGTTAATGATAAAACTACTATTTATTTCCAAATGAATGGAGTTACTGATTCCTTAATGGAACAAGCTTTTTATGAGGAAGTAGATGACTCAACAAAGCATAATTGTGGTTATTATGCAATTGGATATAATACAATTCAACGCTATTTTACCTCTCATTATGACACACAAACAAACCCTGTTGGGTTTTCATTTATTCATCTCAAATGGCCTGATTCTTCATGTGAACTTATAAGAGAATAAACTGATTTTATTATTAACAACTTTAGTTTTGTTTTCATATATCTTTTTACACAATGAAAAAATATTTAATTAGTCTTTCATTATATTCACCAAAAAACTTTCTCTCAAAACAGACTTTTTTCAATAATTGTGTCTTACATATCAATTGCATTATTAACTATAAAACATAAAATAATAACAGTTTTGTGATTATATGATAAATAAAAGAATAAAATGAACAAAAGTTGCATGAAAAAGAAACAAAAAATAGAAGGTTTGAAAAAGAGTATAACAAATTAGGTTGTTGTAGACAGGAAATAATGAAAAAAAAGATGATATACAAAGTCAAAATAGTCTTGTTAAGTTAGGAAATAGACTTAAAAACATTTTTGGTAAAAATGGAATATAAACAACATATTGTATAAATTGATAAATTACAAATGAAATTGTTTAGAACAGTTCTATTCCAGCATTATTAACCACTATAAATAAATCATATCCTTTGCCGTTTGTTGAAAACTTCTTTTCCAATCCTTTCTTAGGAATGGCAAACATAATAAATCCGCAACTCTTACAAGAATATATCTTTGCACTTTTACCAGAAGATGGTAGTCTAATTAGGTGAATATTTTAATTAAGCAAATAAAATACAAAAAAAAAGAATAAACAAACACATTCATAACGTTCAAAAGATTCTTCATTCCCACAACATTCTTTTGTTTTACTCCAACCCATTTCATAAATATTGCATCATACGATGATTTTTCTTTCATTGTTTCTAAAAAGATTCTACACCCATTATGACGATTAGGACAACATTCTTTACCATCTGCTTCACATCTACAATTTCTAACTAATTCTTCATCAATGGGTTGGGTTAAAACTATATCAACAATTCCACATAAACAATGGAAATGTCTTAATTTATCATTACCACTGAAAATTGATGGAATTGGATTCTTTTCAAAATACTTTA